ATGGCACCCATGGTGGCATCCGCAAATGAATGATCGACGAAGGTGTATGTACCTTTCTCCGGAATGACAAATTCGAGGATGGCACCGCTGGCGGGGCCAATATAAGCAGATTGCATACCGACTAACTCGTTTTTTGGATTACCATCCAACCACACTTTATCTAATATAGTACCAATCACGTGAAAATTTGTCGCATTGTTCGGGCCGGCGTTTAACAGGTACACCCTGATTCTTTCACCCGCTTTTACTTTTAGAGGATTGACAATATATTGCCCTACTTTACCATTAAATGCAACGAGGGTTGGCTGTTTTTTCAGGGCTAAAGCAGTATCGGGAACAAAAAGTTCTCCTTCCTTTTTCAAATAGTATTCGTTTTGAACAAATGCGAACTCATGATCGACTTTACCGGGATAACCATTCTTTGGTTCTACAATTACCATTCCCACCATACCGTATATCATGTGAAGCAGTACCATGGGGGTGCCACAGTGGTACATAAATACACCGGGATAATTTGCTGTCCATGTGAAGTGGATGGTTTCCCCTGGTTGAATGCTTCTGTATTTATCTTCGGGATTGACCATTGCTGAATGAAAATCTATAGAGTGTTGCATAGGAACCATGTTCATGTGCATGGCCATATTATTCATTGTGTCGTTGGATCGGTCTGTCATTGAGAAGCGGACTGTTTGGCCTACGCGGACTCTTAGTACCGGACCTGGCACCGACCCGCCAAAAGTCCAGGCCGTATAGCTGACAGTTTTTGAAATAGGAAAAACCTGGTGCCTCACATCAAACTTTACATCCACCGTATCTCCTTCTTGTAGCTTAGGTAAGTTAGGAGCTAACGCTAATGGACCTTCGTTTTTCGAAGAAGAATTGGGCTCATTGGTGATCTTTGCGGTTGCGGAACCATAGACTTTTTTTTCATCACCCGCTTTGTTTTGTTGTTGACATGCAGCTAAGAGAAGAACAATTGCAGGATAAACCAGGAGATGTTTCATGTCGGATCAATTTGATGATAAATAAAGATCGTCAGGTTGGCCAGGGATTGGTGAAGCACGGTAAGTGGATGTAAAGTTA